AAATTATCCCTAAGCCTGGAAAGCTACATCATATTGACCAATAAGTCTATTGCCACAAATATCAAAAATTTTCCAAAAACTCCTAATTAAAAAAATACTGATTTCCTCGCCGATAGAAAACATAATTCCGGACCATTAATTTGGTTTTCCCAAAGAGCATGGAACAATTGAACAGGTCCTTAGAATAGCTATCGAAATACACTTAGCTTTACATTCAAAACAATATTGTACGGCAGTTTTTCTTGATGCAGCGCAGGCATTTGATAAAGTGTGGCTTGAAGGACTTTTATTTAAAATAACGCTCTCGCTTCCAAAAAATTTTCATAATCTTCTAAAATCCTACGTGACTCATCGAAAATATAGGGTCAGACACAAATCGTTTACTTCGCAAGAGTACGATATCAACGTTGGAGTTCCTCAGGGTAGCGTCCTTGGGCCGCTTCTATACTTAATCTATACAGCTGATATTCCACAATACCCAAACAATTTGCTGACGACGTTCGCCGACGACATTGCCATAGATAGTTCCGCCCGTGACCGCACTATAGCGTCACAAAATTTATCCACGCATCTTGGTTTGATTGAAGAGTGGCTTGCAAAATGGAGAATCAAGGTGAATGAAACCAAATGTGTTCAAGTAACTTTTACTCTAAGGAGAGAAACATGTCCAATCACATTCTGTAAAATATCTGGGAATTCATTTAGATAGAAGGCTCACGTGGACTAGTCATATTGAATCCAAAAGATGTCAATTGAATCTTAAATATAGAGAATTGTACTGGCTTCTAAATTGCAACTCTAAACTCAGTCTCGATAACAAATTGTTAATTTATAAATCAATATTAAAGCCGATTTGGACTTAAGTTATTCGTCAATACATGCCTAAATTTCGAGAGAGACTCAAGTCGCATCCAAATCCTCATGTTCGATACTTATCTTCTGCAACTGCACCAAATCGTCCTAAAAGAAAATCCTTGATAAACATGAATTCTCTAGCTCACCATTTTCTAATTATCAGAAATACGGACACACAAAGACATACTGCTAAATTGCTAATGTTTGTGTTACAAGCGCAAAAATACTGTTAGAAAGCTGAAGAATTGTGAAAATCATACAGCAAACTACAGTGTCTATATTTCTTTTCGCCAACATACACTTAAAGCATTGAGTAAAAATATTATAGAGTCACAATGACTCAATTTTTAAATTTTCAGCAACAGGCACGGGAGGGCGGAGTGAAGATATTTCTTCTTTCTGCGCTGCTGCTAGATCGGCTGCGCTTGTGCTTGTTCTTTCTAAAAATTTTACTATAAATGAATGAAGGACAAAAATGAAAACAAAAAACAGATTTGCTTGTTTACGAAGGCAGGCAGTACAAGAAAAGAGTCAAATTAGTTTTTGGTGTAATTATTTGTTTTTGCAATTAATGCTTGGCACCAGCAAGCAGCACGTAAAAATTTCGTGCATTTAATATTACTTCATAATGCAAATAAGACAAACATCCCTACTTGTTTGGAAGTTTACTGATCTACATATATATATGTATTTTATAAACATATGTACTTTTATTTGGAAGAATATGAATATTTTTTCATCTTAACATATTTTAGGAACATTTGAAGCAAATGAAACCAATTTCAATTTTTTTGTTTAATCAGGTATAATAAAATAATTGTATGTAATTGACCGTGTGCGAGTTCGAGTAATTGATGGTAAATTGAGGAAAATTATAAATTATGTCCGTATGGCAGCGAATGTTGGTGTTTACCAGAATTTCGGGTATGGTAAATTAGGTAAATTTGATATTACCATTGGGAACATATTATAAGATGTATAATAAAAAAATAAATAAATTTGAAAACTTTTAACATAAGTGCAGCTCAAAAAATCCCTAGGAAATTTCAATTTACTTTATGTTAATTTACCGAGTTGGTTAATTGGGGCCTGCAGACTTCATCGAATTGAATTATTCTGCTTATATTACTTCGTAAGCACTGCCTATGGATGGTAGAGAAAGTGAAATCGACTAAGGCATAAATTGTTATATGACCTTATATTACAAATTTACCCCAATACACGCTTAATCACATTTATTTATAATTTATTTATTACCATAACTACTTACTTTATTTATTTATTTTGTTCAAATTACATAGTTTAAGTGAATTAATTTTAAGATAGTTGTTTGTTGTCGTTTTGTCATTGGGCCTTGTTGTGGTAGGAGGCAGGTTTAGGACTATTTTCGGAAAATACATTTTATGCCGGTTGCTTTCTTTCTTCTTTTTTACCATTCTATTTTCCAATTATTTATGTGTGATAATATATTTCTTTATCATTTATATGTAAAAAATCTTTTTGTCAAAAATACTAATGTATATTAACATAAAAAAATAAAGTTCTTCAAATTCTTGAGAACGATTATAAACTATAGTCGAAATAGAGAACAAATAATAAAAAAAATTTTGAAATAGTAAAAAAATTCTCTTTTCTATATTTTTTTTATTAAACAAAATTTCTTCGTTAATATGGACTAGGCCTCCTGGGGACACCATGTAAAAAAAAACGCTCCATTCCAGACTACCTCATAGGTGGTCTGGAAATTAGTGCGCAACTAGTAACATGAAAATTGTCATTTCTATTTAATTAACGATAACCTTTCATGTATGTCGATCTAGTAACTATCAATGATTATGCAGTTATTTAAATAAATCTCCATTTCTCGGCAATCATCCGCTTGCAAAAGCTAATAGTCGATATACTTGTAACCCTTGTACTGATATTCCTTTTATACTTATTCAGTATCTGTGAAGCGCATATATTTGCGAAATAGCGTTAATTATTCAAACTGCCATATAAACCGAAGGTTTGATTTTAGTTTTTTTTTATTCATTTTAAATTAATTTCAATATAATTTTATTATAATACATTTGGCAAAGCTAAAGCATACTATTTTTAAAAAATGTTTTACCAATTATTGGTAAATATTTTATATACATACATACATATGTATTCTTATGATTGTATTACTTGCTAAAATTTAATATAAATATTATGTAAATGCGATAAAATTGAAAATCCATACCTAATAACAATTAATTACGAAAACAATTATAACTCTTTCTTCAAATGCCATCATAATGAAAAGTTGTTTCAATGCTGCAAATAAAATTTTGATATCTCTTGCCCCAGAAATTACATACAAAAATATCAATGTCCATATGTTCATATTTAAACACAAAGCAAGTAGGCATGAATGAATATAAAATAGCGAATAATTATTTTTACTACTTACCTTATAATTCAAGGAAGCAATAACAACACCTCAAAGAACAAAAGGAGAAAAAAACACAAAAAAGAAATATAAAAATTTCTTGAACCTATGAAGCAGAGAATATTGCAAAATCTTCTTTAGTATGAAGCAAAAACGACTGAAGCGACGTCGGCAGAGATTTGAGTGATTTGGGTACCCAGTAGTAGATACCTAGAACAAAAATTAATTTCTATGGCATTGTGACTCTATAATATTTTTACTCAATGCTTAAAGTTACAAATCTTTTGACTCAAAATGATATCGAGAACCTACCTGTTTATATATAAAACTCAATTCACTTTTAAAAACTGGTCATACGTTCAGACTTTGAAGCTCACATTTCCCCCAAAAATATCTACAAGATATATATGCTTGAAATGACTATATTCTGATTTAAAACAAAATTAATATCATGCTTATATCTTCGAATTAATAGATACAAATCATGCGATACTGAATATCATGACGTGAGTCTTTTTTTCGGGACACCTAATCCACTGGCCTACAGATAATCAAAAAACTCCGGAGTTTATTGATTTTGGGCTCATTAAAGGTCTGAAACATGAAGAAATAATTTCTAATCTTCTGTTCATTTTTCTGTTATGTTAATTCTGAAAGAAATTGGTTTCAATAATTCAAAACACGAAAACAAATGTACAAATTGGAAGATATACAAAAGCTTCGTAAACGAAACGTTATGCAAGAAATCAATTTACAATCATTGAAAGAAATTAATGAAGCAGTTGATCACTTGACTAAGACAATAAATGAGAATGGCGAAGAGTCTGATCTCTGTGTGCAAAACAGAGACTAAATAAAGATTTGAAAGATCTGAAAAGGTCTATGTGTAGTAATAAAAAACAAGATGTTTAAGTGTCGAAGGAGACTAGCCGAATCTGGCACCTGGCCTTAATAAAATTACAGGTGAATCGTTGCAATATCATTCCTAACGTCGATCAGCATCCTTTTCCTAGGCTATTATACAAGGCAAGTAAAATTTCCTTAAATAAAATTTCCTGAAGTCTCAGTTTCGGAGTTCAAAATAAGCAACTTAGATAAATAACCGATGTTTCATGGGGGTTTTGTTTAGCTGTAACAGGTGCCAAATATTGTTCGTTGATCAAAAGAAAGTTGAATTGGGTGCGTTTTTACGGTTATTTGGTCTTGAGAATTAATCTGTTCTGTATCTAACTTACTAAATTTTGCAGCTGCTGAATTAAGTGAGATGGACGGAGTCTTTGCAGCAGAAAAACACTTAAGATTCTCACTTATTTTAGCAATCGAAAAAATTATGTAAGAATTTGTTATCGCATTTAATTACCTGATGGCCCCTGACCAAATTTGAATAACAAAATAAACGATGTGAAAGTCGCCGGACTGACCAAAAGTTGAGCTTTATACAATTCGAACAGCCCACCTTTCTATTGGCAATTTGAAGTTGCGTTCCTTAATCAATGCCACACTGAGATGATCTATCCCCACTTCGCTAAAATGATACCAGCTTCATATTTCCTGTTAAAAAATTATTCGCTTAAATTAAATATCCTAAGAAAGTTCGCTGAATTCTCTTTTTTAATTTTTAAATAAATACAAATATTGAGAAAATAAAATATTCATTTTACAGGTTTTTCCTATAATTTAGTGCTTAACATCTTTATTTCAAACTATGAAATATGTATTTTTATTTTAGCAAACGAGACTTTATTAAGAACTTTACTTAGTTATTGTTCACTGCATGGAGCAAGTGGAGGTGGATTAGCTTCTGTACGAATGGAACTTGTACTACTTTTACAGGAATTACAACAAGAGAAAACTCAACAACAGTTATTAAGTCCACTTCCCTTTCCGACCACTTTACCATTATTAAGCGCATGTGTTGCAGGAAATAAAACTGTCATAGCAGACCCAATAAAATATTTACAAGTAATATTCTTACAAATCTTAACTTAGAATTTTAACTTACTAATGATATTTATGTTATTTCAGTCGCTGACAGTTGATATGCTTCAGGGAATTATAAACTCGTCACCCTTTCCTAAATCACAATCAAATACTTATTGTGAAATATTTGTATTACGCGATTTAGCTGTTGCTTTATCATCTTGCATATATCAATCACTTTGTGACTCAGAAAGTTTTGTAGTGAAAAATCCGCTATCAAACCGATTCCTAAGTCCAGGAATAGAAAATATTGCAAAACTTAATTCTTCTTTTGAATGTTCTCATCTTATAGGAAATACCAATATTTATAATAAGAAACGAAAATATTCATCAGATGATGCAATTTTTGTGTGCACCTCTCCACCAAAATGGCCTGGAGTTTCAAATTTAAGAGCACTCTTAGCTAGAGAAAAGGATGATGACCTACCAAGACTAAATATTTTACTAATGGAATCATTTGTTGCTACGTATATGTCATTGATAATTTATGCATTGGCCACATGTGACAGTCGTATTTTATATAGACTTATTGGTCAAATAATTTCAAATGAAACTTGGTCTATAATATTTGGTGGCGGAACAAAAAAGTTATTAAGAAAAGCCACAAAAAAAAATCAGAATATTCCAACCATTCCAGTAAATCAGACAGATACTATAACAGATGATACAAGTGTATGGAATAATGTTATTAGGGTGAAACTAAATATGAAACTTTTGGGTTCATTTGGAAATAATAATACATCTAATAGTATGAAGGAAGATAAACCAACTTATCGTGAGCAGTTTGTTCCACCAGAAATGTCAATGTTGTCATATCTTCTCTCTAAACCAAACAATTCCGGTATATTTTAAGAATAACATTTTAACATTACTAAATATAAAATTTTTTTTGTAAAATATATTTTAAAAATTTTAGATTACACTGATTATGATACAGATGATGAAATTGAATCTGAAAATGATGAGGAAGAAATCGATTTTGCTTTAAATGTGAGTAACACAAAACAAAACCGAAAAAATAACACGGAACATTCGAATCCTTTTTCATTTTCTTGGAGTATTCTCAGACTAGCTGTTATTAAATTAGTCTCAAAAAGAATTCAAGATTTTGTGCACACAGCTGGGACGGAAATTCAAGGTAGTTTTGTTTAATTAAAAACTAATGCATAATAAATTTCACTTTTTAATTAAAAAAAATTTTTATTTTAGATTTACCAGTATTAAGTCCTATTATTCATGAAACTTTACGAACTTTAAATCGATGGCAAAATTATGCAACTGAAATATTGGCTAACAAGGGTACGCTGCCTGATAATTTCATACCAGGTACATACAATTGTGTTACCTAAAATTAAACTCGTATCATAGTTTACTTAACTGGATCTCTTATTTACAAAAACTTATACAGTAACTTATTTACATGTTATTTCTTTAAACATGATTTCATTTTTACACAGTTTTTAAGATATGAAATTTAGAAAACGACAAAAAAATGTTGGAATCAGTTTCGAATTTGGTTTAATCTAAAAATGGGGACTCCACATTAATATACACACAGTAGAAAAAGTCTGCGGTCACCAACAAAATTTTTCTTGAATTTCGCATAACTTTTTTAATTTGTACTGAAATTAGTTTTTGTTTTCTGATTCATTTTAACCGAAGAAACAATAATAAAATTCAAACATTAAAAATTAACGGTTATTCTTTAAACAAAAATTAAACACAAAAGTAACAATTTTGAAAGCAGAAAAAGTGTGCGGTTTAACATTTAAATTACAAGCATTAAAATTCACAGAAATCTACAATTGCCTGTGGGATAACCTCTGTCTCAACCAGTTTTGCAGTAACCTGTGCATTTATTTTTAGCCATTCTTCTTTGATGTCGTTTCTTAACATATCTTTGCTGGAAATCGTGTGTTGGTGAATCGTATTTTTCAAATAATCCCACAAATGTTTTGTGGGACTAAAGTCTGGCGATTCTGGTTGTATTTGAAGTTGCATGGTAGCATGGTAAAGTAGCCAAATCCGTGCAATCGTTGTTGTATATTTAGAGTCGCTGTTCTGCTGAAATAAAAAGGTTGGCTCTGGGTCTAACATTCTGTCATTTTCTTTCAAATTTGTTTTTAGTATATTTAGATTCCCATATTAATCCATTGTATCTTGTACAAATTCAAGTTTACCGGCACCATTACTTGCTATACACCATTATGCCTCCACCACCATATTTCACCATTGAAATTAACTTTTGTTAATCATAGGCTGTACTTACATGATTTTCTCCACACACATTTTCTACCTTTGATTCCAAATATGCAAAATTAGCTCATCGGAGAATATAACTCATTTTCAGAAATCCATACTTATATTTATATGCTTTATTGCAAAGCTTACTCATTTTATTCTATTATATATGGATATGTATGGCTTCTCTCTTGCAACCCGGGTATAATGCTTGCTTTTCTTTAAAACTATCTGGACATATTTTGTTTTCAAGTATTTCGGCAATATGTCCAGCTAGTTTGAAAGCTGTTTTGTATTTAGTTTCACCTGGTTGATTATGCAACGTCTTTCTCTATCTGATAAAATTGAGGAGCTACCAGTGCGAGGTTTAGAAAAGTAATTACCCGTCTCTTGGAAGTTATTTATAACTTTCTGGACAGAAAAATATTGACGACCAATATCTTCAGCAATTTTTCGTTGGCTTACGTCATTTTTGAAAAATTTAACAATTGTTTGTCGCTTACTAACACTTCACGTCTTTTATTTTTCATTGTAAAAATTTACGTTTTGTATCCACAAATATTTTTAAATGATTAATTCTTTAACTCTTTAGGAAGTCAACTAATAATTAAATATCATTTAATGATTATTTATGTTTGCAGGCGAATTTAAATTAACGATAAATCTAAATATTACGAAGTGAACGCAAACTTTTTCTGCTTGTAAAGTTGTTGCTTTTGCATATAATTGTGTTTAATTTTTTGAGAATAACTGTTCATTTTTTGTTTGAACTTCATTATTGTTTCTTTGGTTAAAATAAATCAGAAAACAAAAACTAATTTAAGTAAAAATCAGGCCGCAGACATTTTCTACTATGTATATAGAATCATATTTTCAGTTTATGTAATAGTGTAGTAAGTTTTAAGTTGTGGAATAGTGTACATTTACTGGTTAGTGGTTATCTCCATACAATTGCTAATATGGCTTCAAAAATGTATGAAAAGTTGACGGCTCAGTTACTACCTACTACTGTTGCTAAAAAAGATGTACATTGTCTATTGGTTTGTAGCTGTCAATTTCTGTAAGATTAAAGATTAAATACAGAAAAGTTTAGGTAATTTTTAAAAAAAATCTATAAATGACCTAAAGGTTCTGGCAATTGTAAAACAGTAAAAAATCGTATATTAATTTATTTTTGTATTAACGCTTCCGGCAATATAGTGAAGCTATTGGTTATCAATAATTTAAAAACACATCGCTCATTTAAAGGAATAAACAGTAGAGACTTGCAGTTTATTAGATGGTCAATAAAAACAGTGAGTTACTGTCACTGATTAAGAAAGTAAGGATTGTTTTTTAATAAATAATGCACATGGTCGTATTTAAGATTTATTGTATAAACTGGGCATGTTATAAATTTTTCTTATTTTTACCGAAAAGTATAACTTTGGTCACTGGATAACTTTGACTTTTAAGACATTATGCATTAAGCATATTTTAGAACAAATTATGAATATGTGAATGAATATGTGAATATCTTCCAATTATGGATGCTTGGATAAAATTTGCAATCTTAGATTATAGTTTCTTATATCGGTATTAAGCAATCTTCGGTTAATACTTGCTGAAAAAAATTATATTGACGTGTAGTTAAGAGTGAGAATTTTGTATTACTATAACAGCATGAATATTCTCAGTTATTATTGAACTAATATTAGATAAAGAATTCAGTACGGGTGGTTTAGTTGACATGATTAATGAAAGAAACGATCGTGACTCTTCCTAATGAAAAAGGGGTTGCCTTGCCATTCATAGAAAGATTTGAAATATGGCGAAACTTGGTTATAATTTCTTACAAAATAAATATGTTGAATGAGATCTTCTATTTTTTTCGATCTACAAGATTTTACGGTTTACGCGATTTTCTAAGGAACCTATCCTTTATGTAAATCGAGGATATGTGCATTTGATTGTTTACATCAAATTTGAGTTTGATAAATTATAATAGTAATTATTTTTGGCACCTTCTAGGTGTGACAAATAACAGTAAGTTGCTCGCTTAAAGTTGCTAATTGACAAAACAACAACCATACTTTCTCTATCTAAACACCTAGTTGTGAAGTAGATAAACACTTTAGTGACTGCAGAAAAAGTGTTACCAAAACGATAAGCGAACTATTATGAACCTTGATTGGAAATTTCAATGAATATTCCAGTCATATGTTAAAAATCTGTAAACAAATTCAAATAAAATTGAAAACTTTCACAAATTTGAGATTTATGGGAACGAAATATTTTTAAAATATATAAAATTGTGGAATATAAATATTTTAAAAATATACAGTAGTCGGCATTAGTATTTTGACAAAACTTTTTAGTGACTACTATTATAAATCTAGTTTTGCTTAGTACCGTTAAATAATGGTGCGACAATAATGGTGAAGCCCAAAACAAAGAAACCATTTTTATGTTTATGCATGCCAAATTTTATATTGTTCACCGTTAGCATTTTCTTTATGCTGATAAGAATGAAATTATAATTTTTATTAGTATTACTCAAATAGAAACAAAGAAATCCCGAAATTGCATTTTTAGCAAAATTGTAAAGTATTCCCGAGACAAAGCATCGTCCAACAGATGCTTTGTTTGTTTTTGCCGATACAAATTATCTGGCAAAGCGCATATATTACTGTTTATGTTTTTCTTTAGATGGGGCATATTATATTTCAAAAACGCACATCGTGTATGTACGGTAATGAATTTATGGGGGTTAGTAATTGGAACTTACTGTAAATATGAAATAATGACTTAACTTGCATGCAGACAACGAATTTTTGTGTGGCATAAGTATTTTGACAAAATCTTTGTGTAAATGTTTTTTAATTTTGAGCACGTGAAAACAAAATAAAATGTTTATATAAACTTTAATTAATATTAAATGTTGGTTACGAAATGTTAGTTATCAGATTTTCAATGGTAACATTACTGGCTTTAACGACAGTAAAAGATATAGCAAAGGAGTTTAAAGTGTGGCGTCGAACCGTTTACTATTAAATTAATAAGTTTGTAAGGATGGAAATTTTCACATATTTCCAACCTACATAAATTTAACATAAACATGTAATAACAACAACACGACACATGTAGCCACAAAAGACCTTTTAGTTACACATCACAATAAACTACGTTTCACTCAACACTTGATTTAATTTTACTTACTGTTAGAATTTCAATATAATCTAAAATAAAATAGATTAGTTTTATTTAATATATGTTTTATATTAAAAACTCACAAGTATCATGCAGCATCTGCATCGATAATATATTGAATTTATTTGAAATTATAATTACAATTAACAATAACTAAAGGGATGTATTTAAACAAGTTAAGAATACGCATACCTTATTTATTCACTATTTACAGCTATAGTCAAAAATATTTACACAAGTTGCAAAAAAATTTTTTGTTGTCAGTTAGTTTTATCTATGCAAAACCAAATAAAAAAAGAATTGGAAAGATAACTGTTCATTTGACAAAAATATAAGCAAATGCACTGCTGCTTATTAGTTGTCAAAAGTATTTACACAAATTTTTTTCGCGTCAAAAGTATTTACACAAAACTTTAATTTAATTTTCTTCTTCTTTATTGATGAATTTTTTAAAAAATTTTCTATTTTTATTTAATTAATATAATTAATATTTGGTTACACCACCTTTGGCATTAATAACTGCCCGTTACCAAGCTGGAATTGATCCAATCAAGTTGCGAATGAATTTGGACCGAAAATTCGCTATTTCAATTATGCTATCACTACATTTTGGATTTTTATCAATAGTATTTTACTGTTTTATGAAGTCTCAAGCACATTCAATGACATTAAGACCAGGGCTCTGTGCAGGCTATAAAAAACACGTTATTTAACTCTTTTAAAATTGGATTAAGTCTACATCCTTGATGACATGGGGCATCGTCATGTTGTAGAACCCAGTTATTCATTGGTAAAGTTCTATTTTCTGACGTTAAGATACGGTTATTTAAAATACCAATAAAATAGGACTGATTTAAGGTGCCATTTTTCATTACCAAATCTCCAAATGCATAGCA